ATTAACATTATAATGTGAAAAGGTGTGTTCAAAATTGGTTTGAAATTAATAAATCCCACAAAGGTGACCTATATGTTAGATACTTGCCTATTTGTTAACATACATATAAAGAGTTATAAAACTTTAAAAGAATTATTGATATCTAAGATTCCCACAAGTGTACTTGTGGGAATGTCCCACAAATGTGTGCATTTGAATGAAAGTAACCGTGGTCATAACCAAAACACTTTTGGATATATGACCAATACATTTAACCTAAGTTTTGATTACAGATATCATGATTAAGGGCAGGCAAGCTAAAAATGTCATAAATCACAAAATAAAAAAAATGTAGTTTCATTTAAAAAACTGACCACCTCAATTGAAATTATAGCAAAGAATATAAATAAATATTTTAACCAGTTAATGATAATAGGGGCTGAGTTTGTATTGTAGCCTTTTTTGTTATTGTTTTATAGTGCTGTATTAGCAGTATACATAAGTGCCTTTCAATAGAGTAATCAGTGCCCTTCATATCCTAATGAGACAAATCCTTTGAGCATTCAATAGATTCACTGTGTGCCGTTTTCATGGCATTGCAGGGAGAGGAGCTTCAACAGTGGTACTTGCGACCCAGGTATAGATTTAAAGAGCCCCTATCTAACACATGTTTAATGCTCGCCCACATCCCCAAGCCACTCTCTCTACCTAACCAAATTTGAAAAGAACCTACTAAGGCTGACTTCGAAGTATGTCCCAAGAATGGATTGATATCAATTTTGGACAGTTTTTTAATGGTTGGAAGAGAGATTTTGTCATTTTACCTCTAGCTCCCACTTCTACTGCATACAGATTCACAGTATTGGGTCCTTAATATAATATCTAACCTGTACAAATATATTACAAATTATACATATTATATGTATATGTATTTGAATTATGTCTGCAAACTTATAAAATCCTCTTCAATACAAGTTCCTTTACCAATTTATAAAGAATAAAAGTGTTCATGCTATAAAACCAACCCCACCTATTGTTATAGTATAATAAATAAAATAAAAGCTAATAAAAAGATAATTAATGTATAGATAAGTATTAAGATGACTTCATCACTATTTTAAATTAATTTGAGATAAATAAGGAGGTTGCATATTAAGAATTATATACCGTTTGATACCGTTGATACCGTTTTTTAAGTCTTAGATCGCATTATTTTAACAAATTTTGGAATAATTGTAAATGTATAAACATTCAGAGAATCGAAATTAATTCCCTGATAATATAAAATCCTTTTTAGAATCTTTGTTTTGGAATGAAGTTAAAATAGTAAAATGGTTATGCATATATGGTAAGCATGTAGGATTAAAGACAGATACAGTTAAATAAATATCAACAAAAAAGTCAACTCACTTTTGCCGCCGAATTATTCATTGCGTTACCCTTACTTTGACCACTAACAATATGTATTTAATAAATATATAACATCAACACTAACACTGGTATAAATAAAATCACAACATTTATAAAATTTTAAAGTTGTATAGAAAATATTTTCTCTACCAATTGACAAATTAATGTAAATTATGAAAACTAAGATGGGTTGAAAAGAAAAATGTAAAGAAATAGACTATATCATTTTTATCTTTGAAAGTTCAGTATTGCCCGAAGTAATATTAAGTTAATTAGAATAGGAACTCTATAAAATATATATTTTTTTATTAAATTTAATACCCTTTTGAAATTATATACACATATCTACAACTTTTATGCTCTTTAAGAAACCTTGTGTGTTGATAAGTTATGCTGTGTTCTTGTAATTTTGTTAGTAATACAAAGTAAAATTTTAATACTTACTTTAGATGCTGGATTGCTCATCGAAGAATCGCGTAAATTATAATACAACATTAACACTACTATATAGTCACACTTCAACAATTTTAGTTAATGTAAATAAATGTATTAATGTAAAAATATGAAAACAGCAAAAAATTTTATATGAACGCTAGTAACAAAGTCTAAAAGAAAAAATCAATACTACGTGTAATATTGCCAGAATGGTAAATAATTAGACCTTTTGAAGATTTTTATACCTGTTTCAATATTTAGAACGCCACATTCTCCCAGTCTAAAGAAAATTTAAAATTAAGAAAAATTACGATTTAAGATGAGAGATGAAGGAAACAAATAATTATTACTGGTTCGTGTTTATACAAAAGTTTTTTATATATTTTAACACTTATTATTTTTGTTAGATTAAAATGTATTATAATATATTTTAGATTGTGGAATATATACCTACTAAATTATAAATTGTAATGTTTTTGATAACATACGAAAAAAATATATTTTTATATTAAAATTGGTCTTTATTCCAAAAATTATATACATAATATGTATGTTCCATAATAAACTATTTAATATTTTACATTATTACTAGTACTTTATTATAATATGTAGTCCTCAGGCTTCTAAAGTAGCAACAACTTACTACTCTAGAAGTCTATCAAGTCTATAAACTCTATAGTCTACAGTCTACACGTTTATGGTCGATGGACGGCCGATCACGGTGTTGGTGGTGAAAAGGGTTTGTGGATTGTGGAACTTTGCAGTATCATAAAACCCCGTGTAATATGTTTTTGAAACAAATAATTGAATAGAAAACTTAATGAAACATTCGTTATAACAATTTATTTAGGGGTAAGTGAATACAAATAAGTTTTTGGACGGATGTAGAGTTCATAATTAGTCTCATTCCACTTTTTATGTTTTCGCACCTTATCCATTCAAAATCCCAGATAGAGCTCTTCAGCTGGCAATGCGTTTCTGCGCATCCAACTATACCTAGATTATATAGGTCATTGGCTGGGTTCGATATTTTTTTATTAAGAAAAGGTCAGTGAATTTCGCCACAAACCGTGGATAATTGCCTATGGTTATTTTTTTTTCTTACTACGAATGCATGTGAATCCTGTGCTGCGTGTAAAAAAAATTCTCACGCTCGAAGACCTTTATGTTAAACTCGCGGCTGTGTTTTTTTTTTTGAGTCTAATACACATGTTTAATTTCCTGCTATTCCCGCGATCGAAAATTCCGTGTTCTCTGTTATGTGATCTTGTAGAGCTGGAGTTTGTTGTGAATCAGTCGAATTTTAGTTGTAGCAGCCTTTTTTATCATGATTTTGATTAATATTCAGTATTAACTAACATTAGATTAATCTGGCCTTGAATCTGACAGTGGTATAGTTAGTTTTTCAGTTCTGGCCTTGTTCTTTGCATTCTGAGGTAATTGAGATATTGTCGAAATCTTTGTTTTTAAGTTGATTACCAAAATCTTATTGATTGTCTTACAATTAGAAGTCTTTTACAAATAAGTTTTATTGTGTTATTAAGAATACTTAAGTAAGTTATTTATGTTTTTTGTCTGTGGTGGACATCACTACAGTATTATAACATTTCTATTCCTTAATATTACAATTTTTACTACAAAAGAGAAACAAAGCATATCATGTATGTTTTCTGAGTTGTTTTAGTTACTGAACACATTTATTTGTATACATTTGATTGATAAAATAATTTGTTGTTGTCATTGACATTTTACGATATTTTTGCTAAAAATGGCTTTTACAATCCTTTCAGTGTTTTTAATTTTTTCAACATTAATATAAATGTATTAAAAATCGAAATTTTTAAGGCATCTTGTTTCTTGCTGAACTGTCATGTGCAACTTTTATTCCATTTTGTTATTTCCTTCACTTGACACAAGAGATAAAAATTTGCACTTCAAAATTTATTCACTGTAACAAAGTAAGGTTATTTATCTTTTGCTCTCATCCTTTCAGTGTTGGAATCATAAACATTTAAGTAAATTTGACGCAACTTTAAACAAAATGAAGTGTTTTCTTATAGTCTGCTTAATAATAGGATTCAAATAATGAGGGAATACAACCTAAAAGTTTATTTCAATTGTTTACAGACATCTTTTGATATCATGTATTTGCCAAGTTGAGTTATTTCTACAAAAGCTTAGCCGATTCACTTACTACATTTAAACATCATGAAAAATTTGTATATTATAGAATTCTTATGTGATTTTGCAAAATCATGTTTAAGAACTAATGTAGTTCATTGTAACAGACTTAAAATTGAATAAAGCAGATTGGTATGACATCATATGTTCAATTTCATATAGTTACATCAAATACATTTCATATGTTAATATTTTGATTATTCAGGTTTATATTAAAAATTAACTCATCTGTATTTGGTTGTGCTTCTAAAGTGAAAAAAGTATTTTATTTTGATGTGGCCCCACTGGAATTATTACTATAAGACAATAACAATAATAAACAGTATTACACAAGATATTGAAAACAACGATTAAATAATTAGTCCCATCTGTTGGAAAAGAGATGTTTTTCTTCATAAAGCCAAGTATGGGAGTTCATTATTGTATTTGCTAGTTAGGTAATTTATGTGAATATTAAGGTAGTATTAAATCATTTGTATCAATCATTTTTACTAATATTTTGAGCTTAATTTTGCCTCTAGTTTATAATGAAAAAGATGACTTTACAATATTTATAGAATTTGTATACTAACCTGTCGTTAAGTGTATTTTGTGATAGTAAATTAATTTATTTCTTGTGTTTTCTCAATACTATAATTGTTTGAATTCAGGTATACAACTCATGCAGAGATAACCACAAATTCCAAGCAATAGTAAGTGTAAATATTCATATTCATATATTTATGTTTGAGTTTTTACTTAATTATAGTATTATAAATATGTATGTATAACATGTATGAAAATTTATACATTTATGGAAATTTTGATATTACATTTGATTTTCTACCTTGTGCCAGACTGAAGTTAGACATTTAAATATATTTGAAAACAATTTGAAGAAATGCTTGCATTATTAGGTTAAGCATATACACACATGTATATTTAGTTTGGCTTATGTTTAATATTAAAGTTATTCAGAATTATTTTTTTAATATAAATCTGTTTCCAGAATAAGAATGGAACCATCATGTTCGCATTCCAAATGTGATGTGTACGAAAGAAGTAAAACCTCATATGATAATGTTGAGAATAAGACTGAAAATGATGCTAGGATGGCAGAAAAACCGAGTAATGACTGTAATGTAAGACAACAGATAGATGACCTGGAACGTGAGGATTTTGAAGAAGAAAACAGAATGCTCAAGCACTGTTCCAGTATGATAGTTGATGGTGAAATGGCATCTTCCTCGCACTACTCGGGTAACTTATCCAGTGCAAACTCAAGTCTGGCATCCAGCTCGGAGACAATATCTACCTTATCGAATATGATGGCCAACGACTTCAGCTTGCCCGGCTGCAGTAAGAACGATGACTGTGAAGGCAGCAATGCCACTATAAAAAACATGATCCACAATAGAACGCCATTCCACTTATTGAACGATCAACCACCTAAGAAAATAGACTTTATGCAGAAGTTATTAAGTAGCAATACACATAAGAAGAAAGTTTTTCCCAAAGGGAAGCTTTATAAGGGTGATTTGATGGAGCATTCCGGTGATCATGATATGTGTGACGATCTCGGTGGGCCTTCGAGTAGAACGAGCTCGAATGCTTCTAGCATTGCCAGTTCTAGCTCCGACAGTAAAGACTTCACGGTTCCTTCTACGTCCAATGCCGAGAAGCTTCTCGGTCTTGACGACAGCAGCAAGAGGAATGGAGCCAGCACGTCGAAATCTACGGTGAGTTATTCAATTATATTAACAAAGAAATAATTGCTAACTTTAATACTATTGGGAATAACCGGTGTATAGATAAACCATTTTGCCCCCATCTGACCCTAACTTGAGGAAAGAAAAAACCGATTCATTTGTTTATTTACATAGTCTTATATTATCGTAATAACTTGACGTATAAAAATATTTACTCTTAATACTATGATGAAACTGACCATATAAAAATATATATACATAATTTCTTAAGTATTTAAATAATTCTTTATCTTTCTGATCGTTTGACATATGACGCCAAGCGTCTGTCGTATGTTGCTGCACTTGTTAGAACTGCATTTCTATATAATTTTAATAGAGACTTTGTACCAAATAAAATAAAAATCTAATATTATTACGTACTATCATATAAATGCTACTTTAAGTATTTCATTATGACAATCTATTGTTTATATATTTTATTGCTATGATTTAATAATCATATATCAAAGTGACAATTCGTCAGTCATCATAACTAATCTGTTGTTCGAGGTGAAATAAATATTAATTAAACTCAAACACGATGTCACAATAAATGTTTATCGTTTGATAAGAAATCTGCTCAAACAAATATGACTTATAATTATACTTCGACAGATATCTCTATGATCGAACCTATGAGAGGTTATTTGTTGAAATCCATATTTTAATTAAATTTTATCTACATACATATACCTACAGTCTATAAAACACCACATTTTTTTCTATATCTTTGAAAGGTTTCGACTTTATTTACAGACATTAAACAGTTGTGGACTGTAGTATAATAATATATATTTTTTTTAATTTAAAAATTTCTTTAACCAAGCAAATGTTACGATAAAAACTTAATGAAATTGAGTAGGCTTCTTCAACTTTTTTCCGATTCATTCAAATTTCAACTAGTGGTGCTCTACAGATTTCTAAAGCTATTTCTTTACAAAATAAAAACAATATTTATTTATTTTTCACTTAATATTGTTTGGTCATATAATAGTACGAATTTTTATTCCATACAACAAAATATTTCATGACGTACATTTATAATGGCATAAAAAAGTATATGAATGTAAGCTTCATGCAATTTCTCGATTCCGGCATGGTGTATGCCGAGCGGATGACAGGTGGCAGACGTATGAACTTAAAAAAATATATATATATATATAATAATGACACATTATTTTTACCCTGTCGGAAATCTCAAAAGGATTGCTAAGAACGTTTGTGTTTTTTTTTTCTGTTTCCACCTAAGAGGGTATTCATAAATTGCATCGTTGTTATATGGCCTATCGAGTGTGGCTATCAATTGGTACTGTCATCGCCCCTCGTGCCAAATGATGGTTATATTATAAATGTAATCGTATAATGTAACTCTATTGGACGGGAAGGTCAGTATACAATCATGTTGGAGACGATCTGGTGAAATGTCACGTGTTAAAGTATTCGGGGGAATTCTCGGGAATTTCAATAAGGTTAGTTCATTTTTGTCACCTACGTATTTCATCGGGAGAGTTAGCTTGTGTTTGACGTAAATTATATTGTACATATTTTATTACGTAAATGAGTTTATCAAAGGGACATTAAGTTATTTGATTAAAAGATTTTATATAAATTATAAATTCTATAATATGTTTTGGCGGGTATCAGCGAAGCGTAATTACTTAACTGCTATATTGTTACAGAGTTACCAATACTGCGACGTCGACGATGACTCAGAAGACGACGTCAATGAGGAATCTTGGTGTACGTGCTTATCATCACACGAAGTAAGTTCTTTAGACACTAAGAATTTGGTTCTTTCTACGTATGTAAGAATTTCGAGAAGGTTCTTATAGAGAGTAAGAATTTGGTTCTTCTTTCTACGTATGTAAGAATTTCTGGAAGGTTCTCAGAGAGAGTAAGAATTTTTCTTTTGATAAAGAAATTTCATTGACTGGAAATTTTTGTATTAATTATGATATTGAACTAAATGTATCGTAGAAATCAAGAGTGATTGAAATCTTTCTCTCGGTTTAAACTGCTTCGGAACGCTTATATTCGTATGGATATAAATTTATAAGTAAAATTATGTAATATTACCTTTAAGTTATGCTATTTTTTTAATCATTTGTTCGTGGTCGTTTGTCTAACTTATGAAGAGTTCAAAAATATTTAACTAATTATAACCTCTTCATTCATATGATTGAAATAAAATGTTCAATGAGTTTTCATTCGTTAATAAATAATAGTACTGGCTTTCATAAATCTTGTTAATTAGTTAAACTTAAAGGTTGCTTTATAAGCTATTTATTTGTTATACAAGTTAGAATCAAATAACATATGCATTATATATTGATTATTGGTGGATTGAAAATTGACACGTATTTTTATAGTATTAAGATATATTATCGATCAATGCTTAACAGTTTTATAGTATCAGTAGGTAACATTTCTTTTGTAATACCCTTGAAATGTATGAGTTCCAACATATGTTACATACATAGTTATGTAGGTCGCGACCCAGATAATGTTCTGATGCTAAACGTCTTCGCCCATACGAGTCAATAACTGCATCATCTGTTGCCTAGACATTTATAATGGTTGTAGTTCTAGTATGGGCATGCAGTTTCGATTTGACTAGCAAGGAATGACGAAATCTTTCATACAGATGACTTTCATACATATATATTAATATTGTGATTATTTTTAAAGGATGATGATGATGATGAAGACGAACCAGAACCGGATGAGAGATTATGGGTGAGTGTAGATTTTTATATCAAGCTTTTCCAACTAAAATATCTAATACATTATGCACAGTCATCCATACTTATATAAAGAGAACAAAAGTTTAATGTATCCATAAAAAGGTCGAACGTTTAACATAAACGCTTTAAGATTTTATGAATAATTTAATGATTTCTCAAACGAATTAATTCTAACACACCTTTGAATATATTATAATTTTAAATCAGCCTTGAATAATATAATGCATGTCTGATATATATTTAATATTAAACATCTAACAGAATGACTTTCAAGTCATATCCGTTGTGTTCATTAACTTTTAATATATGAATTTTGAAGGTGTTTTTTTAAATACTTTTATATATGATAATATATAAATATATGTCAAATCTATAGTCAGCACAATATTCCCTAGACATAAGTATTCCATATAAATATCCTGTGACAGCTTCCGCGCAATAAGAAATAAAAGCAAAGACACGGTTTCCTTGCGATTTAACAAGCTCAATGCCCTCTACACACCTGGCGTGTTCCGTGATAGTCCCAAGAACCAAATGTTTCAGGGGTTTTTAGAAATGCTCGGGGATCTCTGAAAGAAAAAAAATGTCTTTGTTATATAACCAAGAAGCAATACAATGTCTGTCACGCGGCTTTGCCAATAAATCATGTAACTGCATCCAACTTTTTCTGGGTTTACTAAATAAATATATTTAATAATAATATCAATATGATTGTTAATATATAATTTGTGTGTATTTAAAGATTTTATAGTTGCGCATTTTAACTTATCGAAATGAAATGAGACCATATACTAAAAAAAATATGAAGAAAGCATCTAAACTCGTATAGTTTTAATCAACTAATAGGTATATATTTCAATGGCATTGTTGTATTTAAGCAAAAGAATTCGTAGTGTTGACGGTCGCGTATTTTCAATAGAAATGAGAATGAAATATTTCTCGCACTAATTGTGCAGACGCGACGGGATGCTTGCATGTATACGAATCGGGTTCTATGTATAGGAAACGAAAAAAATAACACAAGAAATATAGTCTTAATAAAATTTATTACGCCATTTGTATGTACGTATAGTTTATTTTTCGATTAGATAAGATTGACATTATTTAAACTATATACAAAAAACAATGTGTCAAAGTAAATATCTAAGAATGATTTAGTATTTTTTATCTCTTTACTATGAACTGAAACAGAAGTACATATACAGGATGCTTAGATTATAGTAAATTAAAATTATTGTCAATTTATCGTTGACCTCCAGCGGAAGCGTCGCTTCGAACCTCCACCACCTCAGTCCGCGAAGAAGTTCTGTCCAGATGGCTCAATGATTCCTGGTGGCAGCAGCGACTGGTCCAACATTCAAGGCAACATCGGCCTTACTAACATCTCCCAAGGACCACCGGAGTTGAAGCAGTGGCTAAACAGGTAACTTTGACCCTAATGTTTACAAAAAACAACTCAAAAATAATATTCACCGCAAATCCCGCATATCAATCTAGTTATTAATTAATGTATGATAAAAAATAACAGGTGTAAGGAAGTCAAGTCAGTTAAGGTCATACAGTGAATTGTAGGAAGCTGGAAAATTTTACGCTCGTTCATTTCATGACTTACAATGATATTCTTAATGTCGTTAAACGGTTGCAATGGAAATGTAAATATAAACTTTGTGGTACAGATTCCAAGCATGGTCGAACAGCGAGAAGCTCCAGGCTATTGACGCTCTTATCAACAAATGCGCGGCTAGCCACGTAAGATATATGATGAAAGCTATAGAACCGCTGTTCCAACGGGACTTCATCTCTCTCTTGCCGAAGGAGTTGGCTCTCACAGTCCTAGGCTACTTGCAGCCCAAAGATCTCTTGAGAGCCGCACAGACTTGCCGCTATTGGAGGTAAGGATCTTGAACAAAAAAAACACAGGCTCATTTCTATTGAACACATTAAAAATGAAATACATCAATATCAACCCTGAATATTCAATTCCAGGTTCCTAGCTGATGATAATCTGCTATGGAAGGAGCAATGTCGTCGCATAGGGTTGACAACGTTAAAGAAAATGCCCAGATCACTGCCACGTTGCGCCAGCCCTTGGAAGGCGGCGTACATGCGGCAGTCACTGATCCAAGAGAACTGGCTCCACAAGCCGGTTAACAATCCAACTGTGATGAGGGGCCACGATGACCACGTGATCACCTGCCTCCAGTTCTATGGGAAACGCATCCTCAGCGGCAGCGACGACACAACACTCAAAGTCTGGTCGGCTGTAAACGGGAAGGTAGAAATGAATTCTTAATTAAAATTTTTGTATCTTCTCGAAAGTTCCTATCTGTACCACAATTTTGAATATAGAATGATAAATTTTTAATGAATGAAAAAGTTTATATATATATTGTTTTGCCAGTGCCTCCGTACGTTAGTCGGTCACTCCGGTGGGGTGTGGTCAAGTCAAATGGTGGGTGACCTGGTCATCAGCGGCTCAACTGATCGCACACTGAGAGTATGGAACGCGAAGACGGGCCAGTGTCTCAAAGTATTGGCCGGTCACACATCCACAGTGCGCTGCATGCATCTACATCAGAATAGGTAATATAATACCTACGTATTAATTAATTTATTATATTTATGATGCAAATACATACATGTGATAATTGCGATGGATTTTATTAAATTTTATTTTAAAAATAATTTTATTTTAGTTGATAATTGTTAGGCAGATTTTTTTAATATCAGACAGTAGTTGTATGCGATTGCGCTGCGATTTTATATAATGCAATATTTAATTAATATTATTTTATTTTTATAAAGCGCTGCTAAATATAATTTAAGTATATATGAATAATTTATTTTGGACGTAACATATAACATCATTGTATTCTGTCAGTGCGAAGCAAAGAGGTTGAACAGCTGTGTACCTTTTAGCGAAATTTGGATACAAAATATTCTTTTATTTATTTGTATATATATTTGATAAGTTAAGCGAATTTGAAATACGCTATTTTAAATACGCTATTTTAATTCAAAATTATTAAAACATGCAAAAAATACTTTTTATACTTGTAAAAATAACGTGGTGAATTATGTTTGTAATTATCATAATTTACTTGAATTAAAATTTCTAATAGAGAAAATAGAATAAATATGACCCGACAGCTTATTTTGTGAAGTAAATATGATATAATAATATAAAAATTTGTTTTTCTTGAGGTCGCATATACGAATCCTGATCTTGTATATTTTCATTCTATATTTACTATTTTAATTTTAATTCAACTATAATTTCTATTAATTAGGTGAACTTACTGTGATACTGTTTCATTGCCAATTGATTGAAATTATATTTTTAATATTTTAACAATGAAAAAAAACAAAACAAGAAACAAATGTAATTCGTTAAAATAATCATGTTACCTAGAATAAAGACTGAATGAACTCTTAAAAAAATGTACTATATATATTTGAGATTTTAGTTTTTGTGTATTTTTGAATTTAATTAACAGTTATAACATACAAATATTCCATATTTTTCTTTATTTTGTATTATTTAATACATAATTTTATCAATCAAACCAATAAGCTTTGCCGGATTAAGCAACGAAGCAAGCGAAGGGTCTAGCTAATTTGTTTAAAAGGCACTATAGTATATGAGCTATGTGTATATAATAATGCATATAAACATATATTAATTGAAGATCTTTTAAAATGCAAGTTTACTCTGTCTCTCTGTCTGGCAAATATATATAACTATACTCTGGCTATATAGAGGGTGACTGGTGAATTACTATCGATACTTGAGGACGTGATATTTGACAATCATATATGACAAAATAAAAATTAATATAACATAAATATTAATAAACTTCTAAGTAAAGTTAACCAAAAGTTATGTAATTAATTACGCATCGTGTGAACACCCTACAGATTAGGAATACACTCACACACATATACGCGTGCGGCGGCGTAGTGTTGTATCAGCACGCCGCCGCACGCGTCCACACTTGGAACACTTGGAACGTGTCAACACTTTAATTATTTATACGGAAATTTTGTCAAAAATTAAGTGCCTATTTTTTTTACATAATTCGAATGAGAATCATGTACCGAGTATTCTCCTTAAATATTGATAGTAATTCACCAGTCACCCTGTATATATGGCCAATGAGGATATTTTATATTCTTACTCTATGTACAAAACCAAATAGTTGTAATAGCTCAAACAACATATATGTACATACATTGTGCCTTATTTCTTGTCTCTTTAGTATGACATATATTGATATTGATGTCTGTTTTATATGAAATATATTGATAATTTAGTTTTTATTCTTACTCTACATATAGAAGCAAATAGTTGTAATAGCTCAAACAACATATACATATGTACATACATTGTGCTAAAATTTTTCTGCGTCTCTTTTATATTTTATATGTATATTGATGTCTGTTTTATATGAAATATATTAATATTTCCAGGGTCGTATCTGGTTCTCGTGATGCTACACTTCGTGTTTGGTCCATACCGGATGGAAGATGTCTCCGTGTGCTTGTAGGGCATTTGGCTGCGGTCAGATGCGTTCAGTATGATGGCAAAGTGGTTGTATCAGGTGCATATGATTACTTCGTGAAAGTATGGAATCCTGATACAGGGGAGTGTCTTCATACACTAGCCGGTCACACCAATAGGGTGTATAGCCTTCAAGTAAGTTCACACTTATGTCATTTTCTTAATTAATACACTAATGCATGTACTTATACAACGTTTAACATAATTAACGCACACCCTCAAACACCCCAATTAGAATATAATAATATAAACGCAATGCATACACCAAATATTATTTATATGTGCGTTTGCATTTTTTATTTGTCAAATTACTTATCCCAATTTCGTGCAAATAATATGGTCAGCTATTCACCAACACTCCGCTGCACATGCACACACAGACAGATACAATGTACTCGCCGCGCCCGCGCCCCTCTCCGAGTGCCGTCCGACAATAATAAGTAGTAGGTAATAATAAGAACACGAAATAACTACATTATGATTTATGATTCTTCTTTCCATCACACTTTTCAGGCTTTAGATTGTCGACATTGAATTGTTTTTTAATGTGAAGCCAATATTTTATAAATTAATTACTAATTTGTTAAATTAAATTTGTAAATAAGAATTATTAAACAGCTGATAACGCGTGATTTGATTAGACACCACAATACCTACGACAAAGTCGGCGTGTTTAAATGGTGTGAATCAAAATATTAACAATAATTTAAAGATTAATTAACAAACTTACAGTTTAATTTGCACTCGCACGGCGTTGTCCGCAATTGTGGTTTTATTTTAGATAATACTGCAGTATCACTTTTCACTTTTACAAAGGCGGTTATTATCTTATTTTTTAGTTCCTCGAAACTTGTTGTCTCTGTGTTATAAACTAGCGATTTAATTTGCCCCCACAAAAAAAAGTCTAGTGGCGTCAAATCAGCTGATCTAGGAGGTCAATGGACACATGCGTATCTATTTGATGTGTGCCGACTGTTGCGTGCGTAGGATGACTGTAATTTACTTAGTTCTATCTAAATTTGAGAAAAAATATGACCTACATAAAAACTATAAAAATCGATCCAGATACCGATTCTGAACAAACTACTTTCAGGGTGTGCGTTAATTATGTTACACGTTGTACAACTTATCATAGTTATAATCACACCAGTTCGATTAGGAAGAGTATGAAATTTAGGAATACTTCAACAAAATTCCATCAAATGTGTTCTTCTCTTATGAATGAATTGTTATAGTAAGTACAGATTATACTCTGACTTCTTTCAATCCAACAGCATTCAAGGAGTTAAACTCTTCAGAGTTCAGCCATCACATAAGCTGTATTTGACGTAGTTTAATCTTTTCGGCCTACACTCTTGTTATGTTTGGCGTTACCCATGTTTAATCTATATATACATAAAAAAGAATCCCTTTTTCCCTTTGTCACGGCATCACGCGTGAATGGCTGTACCAAAAATTAGGAGAAGGTTCTTAAGCTAGAAAAAATTACGAAAATTACTAGAAAAAAAAAATTGCCGAAAAATAAAAGTAAGAATATTGTGTATCATAAAGCATTAGAATAATAAACACTTTGTTTTTGGAATTATTTTGATTTATTAATATACTAATTAGAATTCAATTATCACAGTTAAGAAGACAGAATATTGTCTGTCGGGTCAGTTACACTTAACAAAGAAATTAACTTCATTGAGATAAAAAGGTACAGATATTTCTTGATTATAGGGTGGTACGAAATTCGCCGGGTTAACTAGTTTATAATAAAAAAAACTATTCAGAACATCATTGGACTTGTACAACTAGAAATTAATTTAATAAATTTTTAATTTGACTTCAAAAAGGACATTCTAAGTTGTCCATTAAAATTTATAATCTGCCTTCCTGTAAGAGAAATTTAAGTCTTTTCCTACTTATAGTGTAATTTTTTTAACTGAAACAATTTTCTCAACTGAATATTAATTCATATACTGATATTTTATAAATTAAAACTTGCTTGTAAATCCCAGTTACCAATACATCCACTGTATTTATTGGTACAATATAAGATTATTATTCAAATGGACTCTAAATAAATAAAGTATTTTTAATAAAGCCTAGACTACCATTAAAATCTTCATGAAAATATAGAACAATATAGTTATGTATCAATTAATAAGAATACAAGAATTTCCTTATATCCAAATTTTTTTGTTTTAAATTGCTAATTATAATTATTGTTCAAACTAGAAGACCCGGCGAACTTCATATCGCTCTATAATCAAGAAATATCTGTTAGAATGATTGATATAGGTATTAGTTAGTTGTCAAATCTAATGTCAAAAAAAACGTTTGTATGGGAAATAGAAAAGGGCTGTTTTTATGGTTTTCCCAGTTATGAATCAATTTTTTTCAGCTTTTATACCTTCCCTGAACCTCCACGAACATTTCAAGACTAAGATAAGATAAATCCGTTCAGCTGTTCTCGAGTTTTAGCGAGCCTAAGGAACAGCAATCCATTTTTATATATATAGAAGATATATTCTATAATTTAATTAACTTTTAATCAGTGGCGGCTGGTGGTGCACTTTACTAAAATGCAACAAAACATAACGAAATGTCAAAAACGGCTCAATTCGTCATACATCGTGTGCTCTCGGTAATCTTCGGCCGCTCGTGCGGCGCTCGAGAACCGACTCGTTACTCGGTACATTTCTATGAACTATCTTTTGTTTCACGCGTCAGGCGTATTAATGCGTATCTCATACGAGTTGTATTGGCAGTCCTCGTGCACTCACCGAAGCGCACGATATGAGTTTAGTAAAGCGCTCAAACTTTTTGACCATAATAAGGAAATTTAATTGTTTATACGTTTTTGTATGTTTAAAAAATAAATATTAAAATGTTAATTTAAAAATAAAGATGAAGTAATATTTTGTAATTTTTAAATCTTTTGAATTGGTGGTTCAGCGCACGAGTGCACTTAAGGTACAGCCGCCACTGCTTTTAATACATCTGACATCAGAACTTATATATCTGATAAGCAAATTTTTATTATATACAAAATTCTAGTATACAGAAGTACATATATACCATATAACATTATTTACATATATTCTTATGTTGTATCAGTTTGATGGAGTGCACGTAGTAAGCGGTTCCTTGGATACATCTATCCGCGTGTGGGACGTGGAGTCTGGTCAGTTGAAGCACACTCTGACCGGCCACCAGTCACTGACCTCTGGAATGGAATTGCATTCCAATATACTGGTATCTGGAAACGCGGATTCCACGGTCAAAGTCTGGGACATCACTACCGGCCATTGTCTCCACACTCTATCCGGTAAGTATTGTATTTTTTAACAAATATGTATGGATTTGTTTTCATTAAATCATTGCTATATAGAGATCATAAGTCAATTTTAAATGTTTTTTTTTATATATATAAATACAATAGCATCCATATATAATATCATCCAATATATAATATTCCTGTAATGAAAAAAATATTTATTAATATGAATAATTGTCAGGTCCAAACAAGCATCAGTCAGCGGTGACGTGCCTTCAGTCCAGCAACCGTTTCGTGATCACGTCCTCCGATGACGGAACCGTGAAGTTGTGGGATGTGCGTACCGGCGAGTTTATACGGAACCTTGTGGAGTTGGGTTCCGGCGGGTCTGGGGGCGTGGTCTGGCGCATCCGGGCCTCAGCAACCAAGCTCATCTGTGCCGTTGGTTCCCGTAACGGAACCGAGGAAACCAAGCTGCTCGTCCTCGATTTCGATGTGCCGGGCGCCTGTAGGAAGTGTGATGAATAGCATCGACTTAACCGGCGTCTTGTACGCCGATACGCTAATCTATACGCGCCTTGGAACTGCTAGATCTGTTCAAACCGCTGGTTGACCAACGAAGTGCTCATATCTGTTTAGTGTATATACATACGTAGTTATAACCAGCGGTTAAAATTGATTCAATATGCTTTGGATCGTTTATAAGATTGAAGCAGTCGCCGTATGGATGGTGTGTGGTACGTAAACGTTATGAGGTTTACCCACCGGGAAAGAAGTGTATGAAGGACCGCATTAGTATCCACAGTGTACTCTGATTACCTTTACTTATACATTTATACCAATACAATACCATTACATTACATATAGTTACGATTAGAGTTCATCGACCCCCAATGGTTGTTATTGCTCCATTAATTTTAACAGGCGTCGCGATAGCTTTTATTTAGCTCTGTAACCATTGCCAAAATTCTGTTACACGTTGTGCTTCATTGTCCCAAAGAATATATGAGGATATCTGACCTTAGTTATTAGTTTTTACCATTAAGACTATGATTTGAGGAATATTATGTTTGTGTTTGTAATGCTCTTCGGTTTAGTTAAATTGTTTCGTTTAGACGTTTATATGTAAAAAAAATTTTTGTTTTTTAAATAACTTAGCTGCTAAATAATTGATATGTAGCTGCTGTACTTTATAATCATTTATAAATAATGGTATCACTTTTATTGTTTGTATTATATTGATATATAACTATTATTATGTTTTTATATAGTTACGTTGGTTCGTATAGTTTGATATACAGGATGTACCGGGAATAAAGACTTGCTGGATTGATTGTAGTGTCCTATTAGAGTTTTTGATGAACAACTATTTAGATATTCAATAAAAATATGTAAGTTAAAAAAATCGGCACTATAACATTTAAATAGTTTTACAATATATTTTTAATTATGTTTTATGAAAATCGTGGCAATATTAAATTGTCTATGCCATTTTTATTTCCTGGTAAAACTGCATAATATAATTTAAAAAAAAAATTGAATTATGTACGTATATATTTTTTATTCATTATTATTTACATGTGCAATTCATCCAGCATAATATGTTATGATTATTTATAGGACACTTAATTTCTTTTTTTTATACATACATATATATATGTGACGTGAATTTAATCTACTACAATTGTAATAATATTGAATTTAATTGTAATTAATCGATTATTCAAATGTAATTCCATATAATCCAAATCGTATTTTATTGTCAGGCTTTTAATTTGATAATATATATACATATATATTATTATGATAATTGTACGTATATTGAAAATAAACATTCAGACTTATTGTAACACCGAATTAGATACCAACTGTATGGTCTATAATGGTCGTATTATTGCATAATGAAGTCAATACGATATTTAACTAATTTAGTTTAAGTGGCTACTGTCGGTGTACTCAATATCCTCGGTGATAAGACAAGTGCGAAGCTTCTGTTCATATATTATAATATAAATTACGTTTTATAATATGTATCTATTTGCATATATATAATGTTTGGTACTTGTCGTCTCTCTGAGTTTATGTGTAACTGTTTTATGATATATATGTTGTGTAAATACATAATATGAATGGGAAACCGTACTGAGAGTAGCCTTTGTGTGTATTTTACGCCATGCGACATTCTATCGCCACTATACGTGAACAGCTGCGTGCATTTTTATGGCTGATTAAATAATTAAACGAAGACTGAAGCATAGGTATAGTTTAATATAGTATTTAATGACCTCGATTGTATGTTTGTTTCTTTTATTTTTAATTAATCGTTTTGTGTTGAAACAGCCGTCTAACAAACGTTCGTGCAACACTCGACGGCTTAGTCACTAGTTACGATGGTCGTCTCCAATACACTTCCACGTACTTTTGACTAAGTTAACATTTTCAATTTCTTTTTTTTATGACTATCTTTTATATATATCATTAGACGCTAAGCGCGGTGTTAGCCGCTATTTTAATTAGTTAAAAAATATGTAATAATGTTAGTTATTATGATAATTTCGATGGCGCCTAGGAATGAGAGGACGAGGTTGCCACTGTCATATTGTGTGGGTACACAACCGTTGGTTATGCACTGATAAGTGTTTGTATATAAATTATGTAACGTTTTCGATATGCTTAGAAAGACTGGTATCAGATTCGATTTGCGAATCTGTTTTTTTGTAATACTCTCATCGCTAGGCCCATACAAATTGTATCACTTATACCGTTCGTCGGTTGTAGGGTAGGTGATGAATTAAACAATATTAAATCGGGTTGTTTGATTTCTGTATGATTTTCTTTTTAGTAATTTTGCTCGTCTTCTGTAAACACAGAAGGAGCCACGCCGCGGATGCTTACACATAATTGTTTAACGTTTAATTTTCTGATTACTATCCTAATTTCATAATTTTGCATATTGTAATATCATTTCAATAAAGTCAGTTGTTTTTTATGTTGGTTTTATTTTTCATGATATTAAGATGTTTTCAGGCTTTGAATGGTTTTATTATTTTGAAGCTTGGCTTGTAATGCGAGATATAAACCAGAAAGATAGAAATGTATGAAATAAACACAATTAATGAACAAAAAAAATTACTATTTATCACCCCAGTACTCTTTTAGGGAAAAGTAGCCAGAAATATAATTAATTGATTTGGGAGACGAATGTGATTCATTTAATTCTATTATCTATAAAATGGAGAACAAATTCTGAACGAAAATGCATTCTAAATCAATCTGGTCTTATATGGAATATTATGTGAAACAATTTTATACTTCCAAGGCTCCTATAAGCATATTTAACTCTCCCTAAAAGGGCTAACATTCATGAAGCGTGCATAATTGATATACACCTCTTCCAAAAGAGTGCATATGATCTTATGTCACGTCTAAACAAAATTTTTGACTTTCCAAATACAGTCATTGCTTTCTCTTACTTGAAATAGGTTTGTTTAAAACAGTATGATCTATAGTCATCTTAAAAGAGCTCTTTGATATAAAACACACTTGTTCGTAAGCTTCACCTTAAATTCTTACAAAGGCTTGTTAACTATAGCGTTTATGGCGTTAGGAGGTCACACTAAAATCAAGCTAGCGTTGATAATTAATATTCCAATTAGAGAAGTTCGTTTTCGATAATGCGCAATGCCGCCATTTTGTTTTAAGTGCTTATGTTGCACGAAATGGCGCCCAAGGAATTAGCTAGTCAGCTAGCTATAGCTAGCTATTCAATACGAAATCTAGAGGAATGGATGTAAAGAAACATGTTTATTTTTTATTTATTTAATCACAACACTTTTACAACAACAGGTTACATATTTCAAGTTGACACTGATGCAATATTAGTTATGATTAAAAAGCATTGAGAGTTACGTTTTCAACTTTTCCCCTCGAGAGATGCTACTTGATTATATGTTTATAAACATGTTCATTAATAATACGAAGATATAATACCTTACACACTAAACAGTCGACATGTATTAGATACTTGAGTCTAAGTAAATAAATTAATATAAAAATGGCCAAAACATTTCTTTGTTTCAAAGTATATAATAAAACATGTGTAAACAATAATAAAAATTACATTTTATATCATACTTTAGTATTTAATACTGTGAAGAATAGGCAAAAATATTTTACTTCCACTTAAAACGGAAACAAGAGCCTTTAATGGCGGAAATTCTTGTAAATTTTTCATCACTTAATCTATAAATTCCAACTTCGTAAGAGAGCACTTTTCTTCAATCACTTTTTGATTGTTCAATCAACACACTTAACCCCTTTTCACATTAAAACTACGATACTACACATATTTAAAGACATGTATTACGTTTGATTATGCAATATTTCATGAAATTTGATAAGTATAATTGAAATTCTATTATGTGGTTAATTAACACCATTTATAGATCCAGTACTGGCAGGAAATGATAGTTTGTTAAAGTAAAAGATCACAATCATACTGTTTCTTCGTAACACATAGTTAAAAGAGCACCTCGCCCGGAAATAACTTAAGCTTGGTTATAAAATACCTAAATTAACATTATTATAAGGGTAAATAACTTAGTTATTCTAAATAAATTGAATGGTGTAAATAAATTTTCAGATTACAGTTATCACAACGAGTTCTTTGGTCTGAGTACCTAAAAATATTTAAACATAATTTGTCATAAAACTTGGAGAAGTATAATGTCTAAAAGTTTAAAAATGTTTCCAAAATACATATATAGTATGTTAATAACATACGTAGTTAAATAGAAAAAAGTTTAACTGTTAGATAGATAAAATAATTAGATTTCAGCCATTGGGAGAGGGCCGTACAGGAATGGTGGATTGTAGTGGAAGTTCAAGACGCAGATACCCTTCGGCATGGCGATATAGAGCCTGTGGCATCCATGTTCCTCAACCACGTCGATAGACAGCACGGGGCAGGCCGGGTAAGAGAAGCAGAAGGTTTTCAGGAAATTATATTCCTTCAGTGGCTGCGTACTGAAGATGTCCAATTCGCCATTCACGTACGGCTTGTAGTATATGCGCACGATGCCCCAGAGGGTACCGACGAAGAACAGATCGCCGTATTGCTTGACCAGCGTGATGTCTTGCAGCGGGCCGCGACATATGGTTGGGTTTGCCAGAAAAACCCAACGGAAGAATGTCCTCCAATCGAAATTTTCCAAGAAGTTGTAGCGCCTCAACAATTCGAGCATATTGCATTGCAAATCCAATGCGCGTTGGAAAACGATCTCATCGTTGCATAGCTTGTACAGGTTGCGCCTGTATGTTAGTATATTAAGATGGCCGTTGCTAAATCCGAGAGCGACGACCATGTCTCGCATCTTCTGCAGTGTTCTCATCTCGAAGTTTGCCGTGTAGAGCTGGCAAAATGATATCTCATCGTCAGAAAAGACGATGTACATAGCTCTGTTGTGGACCAAGAAGGTCCTGACGCGGCTCAACCTCATCTCGTTATATTCAACAGATTCTGGCGAGATAGGCCACTGAACAAATAAATTGAGAGACATCCCCAAAATCACGATGATGTTTTCAGCTTCGTAGTATTTCAAATAATTCCCGTACATCGGTCCCCGAGTTATGGGATGCAGGGAACGTAAGTTCCAGTAGTATATGCCGCCGTGAGTGTGAACGGCCATCTCGTTATACTTCAGAAGTATAAAGCCCTTAACTTCGCCTTGAGCTGTTGTTGGGCAAGCGAAGCTGTTCTGCACCTCAGTGACCTGATTGAAGCGGGGCCACAGCGTAAGGGACTTGTAGATGTTGTGGTAGGGCATGTGCGGCTTGCATTTACGCAGAACAACATGGCAAATGTCGGGGTAATCGCTAGAGAGCCTACGCTTCCAATAGTTCTCATCTCGGAAGTAGCAATCAATAATGCGCTTGAATCTCTTGCAAACTTGCTGACATACAGCGAGCTCGATCGGAGACAGATGCATGAAGATATTTTCCAACAATTCAGTTGGAAAATACTCCATCATCCCACCCTCATCTTCGAGATGCTTGGAAGCCATTTTTATAGAAGGTGTTTTAAAAATATTTACTTTTTCTCACCTTTATCAGATGTTGCAATAGAGTGTTCAATAAGGTAGTTTTTGTTGGTTGAAGGTGCCAAAATTCTGTGATTATTCACTATTTCTGCTCTTCACTCTTGAAATGGTGTCTTCCGAAGCCGCGCACTACTGCAATAACGACTATTGATCAAGATTGCTCTCAAATCGCATGTGCAACAATTGTACATGCGAATTGTGAATTTCGTTATTGATCGCGAAGTGCATCCCAGGCCCGGGAATTAGTGTTACCAGAACAATAACTTATCATGTGATGCCATATTAAAAAATATTTAGGGAACTATAAACGATGTTACCATAAAAAAGATGTTAAAGACGAAAATGTCTCTTCTAATTTTATTGATTAAGCAATATTTAACAACTTTATTTTAAAAATTACGAACATGATTCTTGAGTGTAGTATTTGAGATGAGATAGAAATAAATATTAATGGATTTTATAGTTAAAGTAATAATTTAAACGTCTATTTTGATACATCACAAAATGTGTCTTTTTGAAAATCAGACCTTCACCCAAATTTTAAAACCAAACCATAAAATTTTTGTTGTATGGTAAGACTTAGTTCTTGAATTGGTTGCGGGCAAATTAGGCCAGTGCAGAAGCCTTTAAAATTAATGAAAAGTGAAAATAAATTATAGTAGAATGAAACTTATGATAAAGGAGGGGAATATAATAAAAATTAAAAGAAAAATAATTTACGGGCGATCTGAGGTCGGGAAGGGTATGGGGGTGGGTATTTAAGGGTAAAAAATGGGTTTTCTCGCTTTCCGACAAAACTAAAAGTCCTACGGAAAAAAGTTATATCGCAAAGTTGTAGGTAATAAAAATATCTAAAACTTTTGTAGTAACAGTTTTTTCACATAACCTCAAAATTTATGTGAAAAATTCGAAAAACCAAGTTTTTGGTTATTTATTTTTATCTCTTACAAAAAACAATATTTTGTCATGAAATTTGGTGAAAACTTACCTTTTGATGTCCCAAATACACTGTAATTTATTTGATTACAAATATTTAATATTTCAGCTTATTTTGAATAAATTTCGAAAAATCAGCCTCATTTTCAATTGAAAAATCACCCGTCAAAATATCAGCTATTTTCAAAAATTTGGTATTTTTTCTATTTGTTAAAATCTCTATTTTCCCATGCTGAAAAAAAAATAAGTTTCTTACTTACAGTATGCACCATTTTTGGGTAAAATAATCATGCCTCTTTTAATGAAATGACACTCGACATCGTTTTGAAAATGCTCTTTCTAATTTATTTTTAATAGATGTGTACTCTGGAAGTTCTCCAGATAGTCCCTCTTTAAGGTAATTTACAGAAAATTGACATTAAGCTGCTAAAAGTATTAAAAAATAAATTGAAAGAGCATTTTCCAAACGATATCGAGTGTCATTTCATTAAAAGGGACATGATTGTTTTATCCAAAAATAGTACTGTAAGTAAGAAACTTATTTTTATTTTTCAGCATGGGAAAATAGAGATTTTAACAAATAGAAAAAATACAAAATTTTGAAAATAGCTGATATTTTGACGGGTGATTTTTCGATTGAAAATGAGTCTGATTTTTCGAAATTTATTCAAAATAAGCTGAAATATTAAATATTTGTAATCAAATAAATTACAGTGTATTTGGGACATCAAAAGGTAAGTTTTCACCAAATTTCATGACAAAATATTGTTTTTTGTAAGAGATAAAAATAAATAACCAAAAACTTGGTTTTTCGAATTTTTCAAATAAATTTTGAGGTTATGTGAAAAAATGTTAGTACAAAAGTTTTAGATCTTTTTATTACCTACAACTTTGCCATATAACTTTTTTCCGTAGGACTTTTAGTTTTGTCGGAAATCGAGAAAACCCATTTTTACCCTTAAATACCCACCCCCATACCCTTCTCAACCTCAGATCGCCCGTAAATTATTTTTCCTTTAATTTTTATTATATTCCCCTCCTTTTCTAATGAGTTTCATTCTACTATAATTTAATTATAAGCTATCGGCACTGGTCTAAATAGGAAAAAAAACAAGTTATCATATTTATTAACTACAATTTCTGTAAAAATTGACATAATAATTGTGCAGTATAAATATAAAGTTCAATTATTATGGAAATACCTAAACAGGTTAACATTTGATTCTTAGTAAATTCCAATATCCAACTTTTAACAAAATTGCTTTTTCTGTGCTAAAAGCGTCATCTTTCGAAGAGACTTGAAAGTACTTAATATAATGGCTTAACATGGAAGTATTATTTTGCTAAATGTCAGCTGTGTTACATAGATGGCGCTAGTAGTCACACTATCAATTTCAAAATCCCAACTACGTATTTAGAGCATTAAAAAAGCTGGAAACAACTTTTAAAATAATGAGAAGTGGGATGTAATGTTTTTCTTGTTTCCGAGTAAAAATATTTTCAATTTTAAATCTGTTATTAAAATATTTCTAAGTACCAGAACATTTTTTACATATCATTTAAATGTATTAGATACCCGCATCATGGTGGTTTATATGAAATGGTTCATTTATTTGCTGTCCTCCATATTGAATTTTGCGTCGTATAAATTACCCGATATAATTTCCGTTAGTAATGAAACAAAACAGTTTTAGATAATTGTTTATTTACTTAGTTTTCAGTAAACATATTATTTTAGGAATAACTACTAAATTGTCCTTAGTATTGGCTTATAATAAATGTACATAATTGTATATAGTTGAATATGCAAAATAATGACTTATAATGACGTAATGATTTGAAAAACTATAATAATTGTCACAGTCTTGGTGACTGTCCTACTAAAAATTCATGAAAGAAACTTTTTCTATTTATATTGATTAAAGTACCTACGTAGTGATATACATTAAGTATTATTTCAAACAATGTTTATAATTGAATACAAATGCTCTTAAATGTTTGAATATAGTAATAAATATCAATTAGGTATTCCCAAACAAATATCTACGTATTATAAAAACTACAAGCAGCTGCTTATAATAAAATTTTATTCATACTTGTCATTACAATAATTGTATATTATCGAAAATTAGTAGTGATATAAAATATAGCACTTAGCAAACTCGACGGTCTCATTGCAAACAATTACATCTATTAGTTACAAGGTTACAACGCAAACAGTTATATTTATTATATTATAGACTCTTCCGGACTAATTTACTTTAGTATTATTACATTCATACTTTATTATGAATGAAGAATAACTCAAAAAGTTCAGTAAACTTATACACTCCAGAGATAAATAAGAGCACTAAGTTAATTTTTAGAGCTGTCCTCATCATGCGTCCGACGCCAGAAGCTAAAGCTAGTATAGTTGTAAAATGTAAGTATTGTTGTGGGTTAAATCTCTTAATAATTTAGAGTAACACATAAATTAGAATTGTATTCGATGGATTTGTATGATTCTTAAGTCTTCATCAATTTGTACGAAACCATTTTTTTATTACTGATTTTTTCTTGATTATTGCCTAGGTGTTTTTAAGTCTGTAAGTATTTGAGCAGGATCATACTATGGTTATGTTAGTGATGCAGAAATTATTATAAAGGATAAGGATTAAAAATGAAACCACATTGTACTCTATTTTTATATATTCATTCAGACAACGGTACACTGTGACAATAACGAACTTAAAATGTATGTCGATACACGTACTACATAATAATTTATCTGAACGGTCACTTAATTATTTTGGGTTTTTGAAAACTTGGATACGTCGCTACATGTGTTAAACATCGATATTAAAGAAATACACCAATTATCCACTTTTTTTTTCCTTTTAAATATTTGTACTTGATAAAATTACGAATGGAAAGCTAATCGCGGTGCTCCGTGTTTACTGTGTGATATAAAAGAGTTCTACTGGCCTCAAGTCAACGATAGCTTAATTTTAATTGCGAACTCTTTTAATCTATTCTCAATTATCACGAGCCATGGACGAGTATTAGTAATATTGAGATAACACGTCACACATGACGTACGCTTTGACAATCATAAATTTGTTATAGTATGTTTTGGAGCTACCAGCAAACACGCGAGCATACACAACCAGCTCAAATCACATGATACACGGATAGCTGTGAATATTTTAGGAACACAGGCAGTTAAAAAAGAATCTTAACAACAATAATTGCATTTAACATAACCGTTATAACATGATATAACATAAAATAATTAATTAATTAATCGTTACAAAAAAATATATACTACGATATTTTTATTATACCTGAGTCTGATTAAGATGATAATTAAAGTATTAAAATTTACAAAACGATCTTTAAGAGTTGGATTGTTAAACAATTACTTCGTTAATACGTAAAAGTCCACGAAGAATCAAATGATTAAAATAAAACGCAGGTATAATAAAAACATCGTAGGGAAGTTGGTAAAATGAAATCGCTACAAAGAGCCTGTTATATCGATAAAGCGAATGATATTTCTTACATGTTCTATATAATTTAATCGATACCCAAAGGGGAAGTCACTACTTAATAACTAAACAGTCACAGTATGTCACAATACTTCAATTCAATAAAAGTTATATATTTTTTTTTTGGTTACACAGCAGGTAAAGGAAGTGAATACACGAGAACGAAACGTCAGAAGGTTTTCGTAACTAAATATTAATAAATAATTGCAGTGTAATTATACAAAAAAAACCATTCTTGTTCTTTACAATAAAATATAATAATTATAGGCATTTTTTATCACAAAAAAGAATTGGATCTTAAGGGTTTGTCATGCGATGTAGCACACGAGAGTGTTGCCAGTAATGATTTAAATAGCTAAGTGTGATAAATTAATAAGGTACCAACTAAAGCCGCCTCGAAGGCGTATTGGTACAATATCACTACATACAAGTACTTTCCTTAACTATCACCAAAATAATATAGTTAGTAGTTACTTATAATTTATGTAATCGAAATGTATACTTTCATTCCAGCACAATAAATTAATTTATGTTTATTTTATAACTACAAAATTATAATAAAAACCAAATGTTATACAAAACGAACGTTATCAGTTCAAACAAATGGCACATTGCATGTATGCATTGTTTTCTGATTTTGTTATTTATAAAGAAAAATATATAATAATCAATTTTGACGCCGAATAGTCAGCTAACGCTTGCCTGGCAGGGTAATACCACATCGGCCAAATATATAATTTATGTATATTTTTTACTATATAATAGTCATATGTATTTAATTTTTATATAATAATTTTGAATTTTTATTATTCTAACATTTATAGTTACGCACGTTCAGTGCGGTCGGATGTAAGCGGGGCGTGTGTGACGTCACTAGCGCCGCGCCGCGCCACGCCACGCCACGCCACGGCACGCCACGCCACGCCACGCCACGCCACGCCACGCCACGCCACGCCTCGCCGCCACGGGCCGCTTCTAGCCGGTCATCGCCGCACCCGTTCCAACACTTACAATGGTCAAAAATTTGGAAGGCACTTTCTACATTTTTTCAAAAATTTTTAATTTTACTTTTTTGAACACATTAGCCTAAACTTACACAATAGAAAATATGCGTAGTAACATTTACCAAATTTACGCAATTCATTCGAAACGTATAGGCCATTTATATAATTTTTTATTTCTTTTTAAATTTTACCTATAGTTAACTTTATTTCCAAAAGGATAGCCAAAAGTTTCAACACTAGATCTGAATCGCAAATGTATTTTTAATAATTTGGTCTCTTTTTACATTCTAATTGCCAAACTTCAACCGAACCGGATAATCACATTTCCAAACAACAGTGAGATATCAAGGCCACTTGAAGACTTATTATTAACATGCTTCTCGTACTAGTTCTGGGTACGAACGCTCGCAGCCGAGCTACGCCTTTCCTCGTTTGATATATGTGAGCGCCAACAATATCTAAATCATGGTATACCCTTGCGGCAAGAAGATTAGTACACTACGAAATTTTTCCCGCCGAAAGATTTTAAACAAAATAACTTTGCATCCGAAAGGTGTTAAATCATATTTGTACATATTCACCTTAAATCATTGTAATCACGCTGACAACACATTGTTTTGAGTTGGTTTGGAAATAAAAACAAAATCTGTATCAGATACTGCTACAGAGCAGAATGAGAGTGTCGTCAGCAAGATTACGAATACTACGTTAAGTTAAACAGCTAATCTAAGATAATTGAAATGTATAATCTAGCTACACAATAGGTCAGCAGATCGTATGATTAATATTCGACAATTTCCCAACTCGGTGCGTCTAAACCTAAAATGGGTTAACCGACATTCCTTACATTTAACTATGGATCCGTCGCTATTATCAATACAAATACTGTTTCTCCCGCGAATAAAATCCCGAAACAACACCAGTGTATTGACTTGTAGACTTAATTTCTAGAGGAGCTAAATGAAAATTGCCGTTCGGTAAGCAAACATCGAGAATCAATTACATGTAGATAACATTTTATTTAAGAGTAATATATTATTTTTTTTTAATTAGAAATACAAGTCAATATTATTTAGGCTAGTGTTGTAATCTTATTTGTAAACTAACAGCTACATATAACTCGATCGATAGACACACACGAGACATTGTAGACACAAAAAGCTGGGGCGACACGTTGTTGAAACGTGTTCTAAACATTTGAAGTCGATGCGGAAGGTCGCTCGTTCCTGAACAACTAATTTAGCCTAACATTTGGAACAATCACTACTGGCTAAAGATACGTCTATGTTACATTTGGCGATCACTAAGTCTACTCGTATGTGAAGTGAGAAATGATGTGGTCTCTGAGAAGCCACAAGCGACACACCATTATCATATGCCATAAACAGCTTCACACTGACCTCGTAGATAAAATGAAACGTACATACATCTACCATTTTAATTTAAGTTTTATAACTAAGCTAATTTATGATTTCTCTTACGCATATGTATGTAGGTTGTTGATTTATAATGAATAGGTATACCAAACAGTCTTTTGAATCTGGCCGAATGTTTTAAATTTTGATATCTCTACTTTCACAAATGGATCTAAGTTGTTGTAAGCTTACATATAATAATATAGTTTTCTACTTACGAGCACAAGCTGCGGAGGCATTAACCTGCTGCTTCGTGCTAAAACTTACACTAGTTAAACAAAAATATATATACTTATAAATGTATGTAAATAAAACACATACACAAAGACAAAAGTATACAAAAAAATAATAATAATAATCAATAAACTAAAATATTCTTTTATAGTAATACAAAAATTCGTAACTAAAACAACAAGCAATATATTGCACAGCGAGTCCAGTTTAAATAATTAATTAAATATGATAAAGTAATGCCGATATAATCATAATATGATCAAATACTCGTGACTCGACGGACCGAGAGCAGAGCGACGCACGTGGAACTGGTCGTGGTCGTTCCGGACTCGTCCCGTCCTCGCCCCACCAACGCTCACACCTCCGGGACCTTAAAAGTAGCCCACGGAGTTGCGGTTGGGAACAAAGTACGGGTAAGCGGGCAGCGGCTGGGGGATGCCGACCGGCGTGTGGGTCGGCGCCGCGCCCGCGGCCTCGCTTCAGATGTTCTCAGCGCGGGCCTCCGCGGGAGGAGGCTCCATCTTCACGGGCAGAGGTGTTGACATGTCCTTTCCGTTCTTGGCAACTGACACCGGAGTCTTGGGCGGTCCCATTTCGGTAATTTCAGAGACGACGTCGCGCTCACTGTAACGGCTATCCGGGCGCGGGGATGCGAACGGGCGGAATGGATCGGCGGGCTTCGGAGGTTCCAGAGCTAGGCCCGGCGGCGGCGGGGAGCAGAGCGGAGATTCCAGTCCAGCGGAGAGCGGAGACGGCAGGCGCGGGGATTGTAGCGGTAGCGGTGGCAGGCCGAGGTGCGGCGGGTGGTCGGGAGGTCGCTGAGCCGCTACCACCATGTTGCACATCTGGCGACGAAGACCGTGCGCCACAGCGGCCACGGCTGCCGCGGCGGCAGCGTTCGGAGAGACGCCACCCTCTCGTCCGTTTCCACACGCCACGGGATAGGCGTTTTGAACGCTCATGCCATCCTGTAACAACCGTTCGCCAACATGTTAAGCTGCTAAACAAATGGCTCACAATTCGCAATGCTTCAATGTGAAAAAATAAATCGATAACAATCACCATTACCACATAATAAACACAATTACTGAATGACAACTTCTGTAATATTCATTAAAATTGAAATTGCTTTGCTTATTATAAATGAAACACGGAACTCGCACTGGCATACTCGCATTAGCTGAGGATACAAGGAACAAATGGGGGGTAATGTTAAGTAGGATATCGCGAACAAATATCGGTGTGGGGTTTAGGGCTAGCGCAATACTGACCGTGATAGACGGATAGACGGGAAGAACCTCCTCCTTGATGTGATGCGCCGAGTGTGGGGTATGTGAGTCCCTGAAGACGACGGCGCGGATGACGCCGCGGATGTGCTCATCGGGCCACACGCCCAACAGAATGCGCTGCGGTCGACCGCGACCTTTTGGTCTCAAATCTGCAACGATTCAGAACGTAAAAGGTGAACGGGCAATGCACCATTACAATTGATCCTTACTATCCCGATAATCATACAACATTTAACATAACACTTATAGAATGGGAGACAGTTTGACACTTTCGCCATAATATTCACATTACAGAGTGTAGAGTGTTTTGTGTTGATTGTAAAGTGCATTGATTTAATCCCGTTTCCAAAGTATATTATCAGGTTTTATTAATATTATTCACATTTTTATAATACAACAGAACACTACTCGTTTTATCAAACTATATGAATTGGTGTTTATATGTGATAAAATATTTTGTTTATTTAATCTTATAGCTTAGGATGCAATAAAGGATGGGTCCAAAAAAAATTCACAGCCGTAACTCATAAGAAAATTTAAATTTCCGAACAATTCCATAACATAATTCGAGCGAATAGAAAACATATACAAAATCAGCTATTAACGGAAAAATAAACGTATTTTAAGATACTTGCAGTTAAAACTTATTAAATAATCTTTAATCCGGTACAGTTTTTGTTAATTGAACATTAATTTTATTAATAAAAACCGTTTGTTTATTAACATCTATTTTAAAGATGGAAAAGCAAGGTAACCTTTTACGCTCAAATTCCTACACATCAAACTTTTGACTTCAACTTCTTAGGTTTTTGTTTACAAATGTATTCCAAATACAAGCGAAAAATTGATGTTGGGTTTTTGAATCAATAAAAGTAATTAATGCGAATAAGGTATACAAATTAAGAAGCTATACTGGACTTGAAAACAGGTCAGTTTTTGCGTCGAATCGCTTTGTATCGTCTGACAGATTAGACAGGATTTCTATTATTATGTTATAGGTAATAAAAAAAATTCAAATTTTACAACTAACTGCTAAACTCAAAATTTGGTTAAAAAGATTGATCAATGAGGCTGTCTTTATATGATACTAAACTCTTTACCGATTATCAGAGGATTTGTTGGTTCGGAACCCAATAGCCTAGTAAAGAAAGGACGTCGTATCTTCGTTATGACTATTTCAAATCCTGCTTATATTGACACTGATTGATATTTAAATGTATTTAAAAAATATATGGATATCGCTAAAAAAATATTATGTATATTTATTGTATAGAAAAAAAATCCCTCTTTTTTTGAGCCCATCCTTTTTGCAAACCTGTGTTATTTATAAGTGATGCGTGTTAAAATTTGTAAATATATAAATCGTATTTAATAATTAAAAAGGAATTTTATGAAAATAATATGAATGTTTGAAATATCGCTAATGTTATAAGTATTATATGAAGCATTTTGAAACAGTTTTCAGTTAAATTACGTTCCAAAACTCGCATAGCTGTCGCTTGAGAAAATCGCATAGCAATAAACAAGTTAAAACTACAGTAGAACACGTATATATAACACTCTATTCAAGAATATAACAAATAAATACAGGATTTTTGGTAGATTGACCACTTGTCGTGACAATACCTTTGTAATTTTAAAGTGCACGCAAAAAAATATACCTGCATAAAAGATTTTTTTTTGACAGAATAGAAAGATTTTTTTTTCAAAGTTTTTTTTAGATACTGCTCTTTTATAACCTTGATATGTGCTAGGTATATTTGAGTTCGGACGGAATTTATTTTATCGTGCGTAAATTCTTAATAGAGGAGTGGAAAAGATTAAACCTTTATTGGTATAACAATTTGAATGTCGCTAGTAGTCAATCTTATCAGAAATCCTCAGTTTTGTGATTTCAGCGAATGAATGTTGCATTTGATAAATTCCTTCCATATAGATATTTTATATTCAACTCGAAAACTTTGGTATCAATATATGATACTAAGAAGTCGTCAATCGGAACTAACAATTGAGAGCAGCTGTTTTATTTCACACAAAATTTAGGCCTTATTTTGAGTAAGAAATTTAAGTAGAACATAACCGACGTATTACCAATTAAAACTAATTCCATCAAGATACAATCGTCACTCGCTGTAGTATTGTTATTTGGGCAACTAACCTGCACCGCCGTCAGCGCTGGGCCCAAGCATGTTATGGACGCGATTGGCGTACAGCACGAAAGTCGGGTATGGGATGTCGTACTTTCTGGCAGCCTGCGATAGTGACAGGCCTTCTTTAAGCACGGAGAAGATGGCCTCTGCCATGGTCTCCGGCCGCCAGGACTTTAGGGGTCCGCGCTCACGGAACCGTAGGTTATGAACGAGACTCTGGTTCGTGTTCCAGCACTTCTGCCACATCGACTGCAGCTGATACTGGTAGCTATCTGCTGGAATTGAGAAGCCAAGTATTAGTATATTAAATATGTATTCCCAAACATCACACATCTTAAATATATTGTTTCGTTGTATTAGTAAAATCAATTCGTTTCCAGATAATCACAATTCGGTCCTAATATTAAAACCATGGTATAAAACAATAATAAAAAAAACAGTATCACTTTAAACGATATTTATAATTCAGAACAATATTATACTAACCTCCTGAAGACATCTAAAAGAAATAAAGGAAAGAGAATCTATAAATTAATGAAAAAAAAAAAAACAAATGATTACTATGATGCAATTTACTACGGACAAGAAATATATCTTCGATACATTAAAACAACAACCAGTAATGGCTATAAATTTACTAAAGTAAGCAACATTATTTAAAACATTTGCTAAGCATATCATGCAACTATTATAAAAAATTGACGAAGCATTTTTACATGGAAAATTAATTTTAATAATGTAGAATCTCAAGTAGGTTTTAGTTTTAAAACATGTTACAATTTTATTTAACAAATATAAATCACAGTTGATAAGTCTATTTGTATATTGCTAAGATAAGATAATCATAAGAAAAACTTAAAAATATATGTAGTTTCATCTTGCTATTGCTATACATTTAGGATAGAGAGGACACTCTTTAGACAGAATTATTTATTTCTTTACAGCTCTAGAGTATCCTCTCGTTCTTAGCAAACATTATAAAAGACCTTAACTTTTAGAACAATCATTTAACTAAATATGAAGCTAGAATGAACAACAACGTTTAAAACATAAAAATAATCGAACATAACAAGGTGTTCATAATTACTTAGTCTTTTCATACATTTTATTAAAATAATAAAACTTCACGTCCGCGAGATATAAGATCTGATTTCGCCAAATTATTATTATCTTAATTAAAATCGCAACATCGTTGCAATTCTAGCTCGATTCATATTTCAATATTTTAATTGTTATGTGTCTACACATTGAAATACATTGGGAACGTAGCGAGAGAATTATGTGCGCCATTACAGAGGAGGCCTGATGTTATCTTAATATTTATATATATATAAAATTATTATTGTTGATTACATGGCATCGTTAAGCGATTTATCATTTTATATAAAATTCTTTAAGCATTCATAATTTTAATAGTATTTTTTTTAGATCTCTGAAAAGGTTACATTAAAAGGGATCATTGTTAACGTTTGTTGGTGTAGGGACGATTTACAAATTGTATTGTTTCTCAACAATTTTTATAGCTAAGTGTGCCATTCTTTTGAGGTTCCGTTCGTAGAACTATAAAGGGGTACAGGTGGCTACATCCGTCGTACACCCTCCACGAATTTTTTCTTTTGTTTCCTTGCTAAGGATTAAGTATTTTTAGCTTTATTCCTTCTACATAACGTTCATACATATATTATTATGCTCGAGCTTTCTCAAAGATGCATATGCCATGACGGTTTTAACTATTCTCAATCGACAGTTTCACCCTTCTCATTTATAATTACGCCAAATACAACAATATGTGACATCAAAAATAATGTTTTATGTAACGATTAAAATATAAAGTATGCAGTAACATTTTATAATAAGATAATAAATTTCCATGAGATTTTAGTAATATTGGCATCGCTCTTTTTAAACTCAGACCGCAATATCCTTTATGCGGAATCCTAGGTTTTTTATTTGTTTAGTCTGAACGAGTTCAATCTGGTTTCAAGTTGCAGCGAAATATAATTTTAGTACTTCAAACACAAAGCATAAATATTTGTTGACCGATGGATTGTTATTGCGAATTAAGTCAATGGAGTAATGTTTAATGTACTTTGTTTTATATAAATGATATTATTTTCATTGTTTTATTTATAATTTTCTCTCGTAATGTTCTTAAGACATTTTTCTACGTATGCTTATTAACAATAAAACTTAATTTTAAACTATAAAAAGTGTCCAAACGACTACAATTCTTCTTACAATTAACACTAAGTAGTTATACATACTTATATAAGATAATCACAAACATCCAAAACGTTCCAATGGATACTAAAACACAACATTTGAATCATATCACTTATTATGAATCGCTTTGTAATCTTATTTTGATCATTTTGATCATAATATCCCTGCAATATATCACAATCCTGAAGGCACTTATTTCTTATTACATCTAAACTATTCTAGAAATCAGTCGTCAGTTAACATTATAAAAATATTACTAGTTAATTTCTTAAAAAATATTCTAATAGTAAAAGATCTTATATAATATTAAGTACTTTGTTCATATTAAATGATATAGTTTTGAATGTTTCACTCGTCGTTTAGTAACCGAAATATGTTTCATCTTTTTAGGTTTAACAGATCCTTCGTAATGCAGCGATACAATGGAATGTTTCTTACAGAACGCCCACCACCAACGGAACCCTGTCAGACCTATGAAAGCGAAGCCGGGGTCTCTACCTTGTTTTAGTTTCTCAACAAAACTGAGAATTTCGGCCAGCGATTTCTTAGTACGTCTGTTGTAAGGTGAGACACTTGTTTCGCAACAGAAGTCCAACACGGCCCTCTCCTCGCTAGCTAAAAGCCCGGCTTCGTCTAAGACGGCCATTCTATTAGATTTCCCGAGTATATTATCGTATAGAGTCCCTTTAGGTACCCCATAGTGTGTCGCGGCCTGTGTGAATCTCATTTTCTGGGTAACGACAGCTTCTATAGCTTCTTGCAGTTGGCTCTGCGTCCACGTGGGTGTCTTCAGCTTGAGTGTTTGACCATGGAATTCTGATCGAAAAATAAAAGCAACAACGCCACGTGTAAATATAATCTATCCATTATCTGCGCTAATAAAGTTGACAGAACGCAATGAATACGCTATCATTTCACTGGATACATTTGAATTTATCACAAGTTAAATTTATCATTCAGTAAAATGTTGATATATATTTATTGATAATAAAACAAGCGAAGGAACAACATAATTATATATAATACATGCAATAAAGTTGTATCGTATACGCGTACCTTCCATATATTTAGAGAACTGTTATTTTAAACAATAATAAATTGTCTCGGTAAATAATAGCGGCAGCGTTCTCACGGTTTCACATTATCTTCTCTTCGAATATTTTACAATATTAACGCAGATGGAGATAGTTGTGATGCATAGTGCACAAAAAAAAATAGAAAATATAACAATGTAGTGTGCAATTATGATAATTACATGTTCACGCAATTGAGTTTACTCAAGTGTCTGAAATATTAATATTATTTAACATTCTCTCGATCGCATATTATTCCTAAGCGTTGTGTTACAACACTACACGATGTTCATACTAGCGGAAAAAAAATAACATAAATTCAATGAGTAAATCAAATAGCGTGAATTTATTTAGCGTCTTTTTAACGGAACGAGCGAAGTAAAAACTATAACACATAAATAAAACTAATTGAACTGACCTGCGATCGAAGATGTGGAGGCGCCGAGCCAAGCGTGAGAATTCTCAAGCAGCTTTGCCTGTTAACAAACAGAACATTTAATTAATATAAAAGCGAAAAGTAGGTCTCAAGAATTAGCGTAAAGATATACACACTATACAAAACTAAAAAAAACACAAAAGTTATTATTTGCTAAAAAAATATAACGTCGAAAGCAAAACGGAGCGCCGTAGGTTTTAATATTTTCAGATTAACATTTAATATTTTCGTTGACGAAGGAAACCGCAAAGCATTTTTTAAACATGTCGACAATGACATTTTTGGTACGACGTGTCAGTGTCGTTTTAACAGGAGCAGCGACATCTTGTGGCAAATAATGACGGCACAGCAAACTCGTTAATTTTAAAGCTGATGCAAAAATAAATATTAAACATTTAGAAATTATAAAGTCATTATTGTTCATTGTTCAAACGATTTTTTTATACAAAGCTAATGTAAACGTTCTCTTTAAATAGTGACAACAGTGTAATTGGTTACATTTCGTTACTTATTTAAAAAACCAACACATCTCCGTAACTAGACTTAAGCAAAAGCGTTAAGCAAAGAAAACGACTCGTTGCAGGAAATCGGTAACAATAAAGTCATCGTTTGTATTTACATAATTCAGTACATACTGCATAACATATATTATATTTAGGTACAAATGGTTTGGCTGTGTGTACCTAATAATATTATGGGCAAGTCGCTTGCGCGGCGCGTTCATAAATCTATTTTATCGTACGCGAGCAATAAATTTTATTTTGGGATCTTTAATTCTTTGTTATTGAATTGGATTTTAGTGTTTTATTCGGGTAAACAAACGGTACTTAGGGCACGTGCGAGCAGTAAACGCGACTAGTCCCGCGGCCCGGCGTCGCGCGTCAACTTAATGAAACATTTTATTTGTAGTTTCTATTGTTACTCATTTACAGCTGCCCATTACTCGGCGCTATTGTCTGCGTTAACAATTAAAACTTCTATAAAGTTTAGTTGCAGCCAGGCACAAAGAATGCCGCTCTTTGCGCAGGCGATATACTCTTTCAATGTAAATAAGCCGGCGCTAGAGCAATGGGCGCGGCCAATGCAGTAGCATTAGATAAAATGTCGATCGTAAACTTCCTGTTCGAGATCTTAGGTGTAAATTAATTTACCTTTAGATCGTTTCATCTTCCTTATAACTGCCCGGTGATATCAAAGTGCTCTTTGTATGTACGTTTGTGTTAAGTGAGGAAGGTCGTCTATTCTGTACGCATTATTGTTCTTTTTCATCTTTTTATTTTAAGTTACATATCAATAGTCGCGAAGCATTTACTATTTATTAATAATATATTTTAACTATATTTAAGTAACCGCTAATTATACGGTAACTTTATAAGTTTAAGTACAAAAAACTGTTTCTATAAGATCCGTCGTACAAGTGTAATTCATTAAAGACAGGTTAGATATAGTTCAAAGGGGAAAATGTAATTGTTACAAGTGCACGGAGATCAATTGATTTCAATTCCATTTAAAATGTCATCTAGATATTTCTATGAGCGATCGGAAACAAAAATAGTATTTCTTTTGTTTGTAAATTATGAAATCTTCTATATATATAAAAATGGATTGCTGTTCCTTAGTCTCGCTAAAACTCGAGAACGGCTGAACCGATTTGGCTAATTTTAGTCTTGAAATACTCCTGGAACTCCAGAGAAGGTTTAAAAGGTGAGAAAAATTGGATAATTGCCGGAAAAACCCTAAAAACAGCCCTTTTCTATTTCCCATACAAACGATTTTTTGACATTAGACTTGACAACTAACTAATATGTCAATCATTCTGTTCGATTGAAACAGTAGAAATTTAATAAATACCAATACCGGGTTAATGAAGACGGAATAGAGTTTGCCACGTCAGCTATACCTATATTACTAATGACGAAATTAACGCGGACGAAGTCGCGGGCAAAAACTAGTATATAAATATTTTTTGTTGACAAGTTAAAAGTTCTGCGATCGTATCGAATATGAATTATGTCAATATAATTTATTGAATTGTACTTTTTTATAGTTTGCATTAGAACGGCGCCAGGCGTCACCCAATCACCCCCTATTAATGGCCTGTCTAATAATATACTTTAATATACACCCTGTATAATAACGGTATCAACGACCCCTAACATACCTATACCAAGTGCAATCCAAAGGTGAAAACATAGTTAATTGATCGTTTGGTTAACGTTTTGCTGTTCTGTTTTTTTTAACTATTCTATCACCGGTTCTATAATCAGTTACGATGGTAATAATTATGCGTATCATGGTAGCAGTTGCCTTACTTGTTTCGAAGAAGGTATTTTTATAGTTCCAACCGGATTAATATTACCGCAACTCAAAATTTTTATCAGAACAGGGCAAATTGAATCTTATCTTACAATAACGAATAATAGACTGAGGCTCATTATGAAGCGCGTGAAGGTGTACAAAAATAAAGTGTAATGAGTTACACGCCAGTTATTATTTTATCCCATTTCAACGTACACTGCGAACACAGTAATACACTTCCGTATTACGCAATTACCGTGGATCGTGGCATCCCTAAATTAATGTTAGCCTTTATGTGGAAATAGAAATGGGAATGTATTATAATTTTCTAAATTGTACGTAAATATTATCTACATAGATATGACATGACTTTAATTAAAGTTAATTATAAGCATGACCCCGTAGTGATTCAGATTAGGAAATCTATAAATGTTATAAAATATAATTATAAAGATTCGATGGAAAAAATTATCTGATTACGGTTTGTCGGTAGAAAAGCTTCAGGCGTTTCTTTCAGTATTATATTTAAAAACAGTTTGTGATATTAAGTAGAAAGTAAGAGACAAAACGACTGTTTATAATAAGATTGTTTAAAAAACATGACCCTTTAAGACAGATATCTGTCACAAGAAACTAATGAACGTTGAAAAAATACTAAAAATATTTAATTGTTTTCATGAACCATCTAAGTCGTAGGTATGCTTCGTTCATATACACAAATTTTAAATATAATTTGATTATAAAATACCCTAAAAAATGTAATTGATGCAATATTATTTCTGAAATGACGTAAACAGACATTATAAATAAAATCATGCAATATGTTAATACATACATATGCAATAAAGAAAATAATTTGATAAAAGATCGGACTAAATTTAAATAAATTTCATTATTTGAATTTTAAAACGAGTGTTTGTTATAAGAGGACATTGAAGTGAAATAAATAAGACGCCAATATTTTAAATATGTAAGAAAAAAATTCGAAACGTGTACAAAAAATACGAAATAGCGTACCAGCAAGGGTAAGTGATAAAAACTCAAGGATTATTATTGATTTCAATTTGTTGGAGCACTTGAGCTGTTTCCACGTTAATACGGCGATTCATTTATGTTACGAAGAATAGGGGGGATTTGCTGCGAAGGATAAAACTAATCACACATCCTATCTGAGGGGATAAGGCTGCGGTCACGGTGGACGCGGGCAGCGATTATATCATTCGCTATTTATCTATGGAATTTATTTTAATTTACTGTAATGAATTTATAATATAGTTTTCATCGAAGGTCTCGATGATGTGTTCCATTACATGTTTAACCGCGGTTCAATTGTAATGACATATATAGCCCGCTAGTTCAGCATCAGAGATGAGATGTCCGCTTCTCTTATCAGTGTGGTAGGGGGTTGTACCGTTTCTGCATTATCCATTTCCACATTACTGTCTTTTTGTTCTCCGTTTGATTGTGTAAGCGTGCGTCGATGTGGTATCCAATGGTTATTTTTTTTCTATAGCGCTTTCACTTGAAATGGCTTCAGTCAATTGTGAAATATGTTGCTCTTATTGTTTCTGAAGAACAATAACTGCCTTCATTTTATATGTTTACAGTGACTAAAGGCTTGATAGGCACTTTTCTATTCCACCCTCCTATCTTCCATTGTTATTACTGTTTCTAGTACTGTGTTTATGTGGAACACGTACCATTCATTAGCATTTTGATATTTAATTGTCTTTATTGTCAATCCAAAGGTTATGTTAAATAAACAACATCACCCCGCAGAATATTATGGTAGTGAAGTTTCGTTACTACATATTATATTATAATAAAATATCCTGAACTGACATTGTTTTCAGCATCTCAAAATAAAAACCGACCTTCCTAACGGTAGTTTTCCTCAAAAGTCTAATTTAAAAATAAACATTCTTGATATATAACCGTAATTTAAAATTTAAAATAAACAGCATATTTAAATTTGTATTTTATGAAATATGTAAAGAAGGGTATTGTAATATTTTCAAACCATACATATTGCATTACCCGTGTATCGCACGAAGGTATTATTTTTTTTTTAATTTAAAAATTATTACGAATATCTAAAGAAGCAACAGCGTGCGGTGAAAACAAGTCGCCTTTTAAACGATTTACCAACGACTTATGTAAATTGAAATAAACGATGCGTTAAATTACTTACTTAACACACGCATATTTGAGGTTCCGAGGCTGACCTAACATCGAAAGTATTTCCTACTAGCTACATGAGAGTTGTACCATTCAATTTTTATATGAGGTTCAATTTAATATAAACGTCATATATAACTTATTGATTTTCTCTTGTAGCGGTAAATTTGGGGCTCTCATAATAACACTAAGCAATATAACAAACATGTCTCTCTTTGTTCGCGGCGGGGGCGCGATACAAGTACAGTTTACGGAACAACATCCAGTTAACAAGAAAGTTTTAATTCTTCGCATTAATTACAGCGCCTGTCGTATCTACAAAGTCAAATATTAGTAAGCGTAGGTACTTATGCAAAACGAGTGTGATTTTATTTGACTTCGGCGTAGTTTCGGCGCTGGTGACGATGTAAGCAAGACAAACATGTTAATTATCACCCCACAGTTCCCTAACCCCCCCTCCCTCCCCCCCAGGCCGCTCCAGGCCCCCCCCAATACCCCCACGACCCCCTCACACACCCCCGCGACCACCTCCCCGCGACATCCCCAACGACTCCCTAACACTCC